TTATTTTACAACATCAGCATTCTCTTTTCTGTCCTTATTATCTCCCACGTGGGGCTTCGCGTCTTACCCCACATGTGTATGTCTCTCCTATTTTCTCACCCTTAACACGTGTCTTGTTCCTAATGCCAGCATGAGCTCCCCTGACGTCCCGTTTTGCGTCACGTACCGTTCCAAACGCCTCTGTTTTCTTGCATTTTACTTCTCAGGGCGTCACTTTCCGACGCTTCCCTACTTCATTTAGATTTGAATTTTGGAGCAGCGATGACATTAATTTTGATAACATTAAAAATAAAATTTAAGTGAAATTAATTATTATAATAATAAAATTAAAATTAATGATAAAGTATATATTTAATTAATAAAATTAATTTTGAAAATGCAATAATTAGCTAAGGTTACAAATTGTTGTTCCTGTTGAGTGCATTTTTTTGTTCAAATGGTACGTTGGTCATATTTTTTAGGAATTATTAGCGTATAGTTTGAGGTATTTTAAATTTTTAAATCGATTTAATATATATAATATTATATCAGTTTAATTATGTCATTATTTTATTTTATAAATTTTTTATCTTTTATCTTTAAATAAAGATATTCAAGTACTATAATTTTATTTTATTATAACATTCTTATTTTTCTCTCTTTTTAACCTTTTTTATACCGATTATTTGAGCGTGAGAGTATAAATATAAAAAATATTTTCTGTCTTTACTTTAACCACTTTTTTTTTTTTTTTTATAATTTCAAAATTTTGATATTCAAGAGCTCGACACCAATTGTCCCATAATTTAATCTTTCTACTTTGAAAATCTACTTTGAACCTTCCTTTCAAATTTATAATGTCAAAACCTGTCCTCCAGTGACAAATTGATTGATTTTAACTCCATATCTCACAACCCCACACCCAAAAAAACTTAAATAATGTAGCGAAACTTGATAAATGGCATTAAAATTGAATCCAGAAAGTATAACTTTTCATAATCCATTTGCCAACGAGATCATACTATGAGATTCTCTTTTTCTGATAGAAGATCACACATGGGATACTTGTTTTGCCAGCCAAGGAGATGAGAGGGGAGAAAAATAAAAACAAACCAAAACCAAAACCAAAACCAAAACCCCGCAAACACTGACTTTATAATCATTTCAGCGGGATTCTAACAACAATTTCCAAGTAGAATATTTGTACAATTGCTATCCTCCATTGATTTTACCGAGCCTTTGAAAAGGGGCCCATAGGTTTTTTACATTTATATATATATATTTTTCTACTTAGCTGGTTGAGAAATAGGGGATGATAACAATAACTGACAATTCTGAATGGATGCTGTTAAGACATTTATCTTTCTGATGCTCAATAGAAGTGGGAAACATGTGGGGTTCATGAAAATCACTTAAGACCATCTGAGAGGCAGACATAGATAATGCTTCATGTCTGCAAGAAGGAACCCCAAATTTTCCTTTTCTTGTGGCAATTTTTGTGATAAATTTTGAGCTTAAGAAGAATTTAATTTTTGTATAGGCATGTGAAATTTGCGTTATGTTCTCCCCTTTCAAATTTCATCATCTTGGTTTAACTTAATTAAATGCGTTAATTAATTTATGTTCTGATATTAGATCAATATATAAATGAATGGTGAAGTCAATAATTTTTAATATAGATGCAATGTTTTTGTCAGTTGGGTTATAAATTTATACTCGGAAATACAAGTTAAAAAGTAAAAATGGCGAATTTATTTTTTTTACATGAAATATATGGGTCGATATAAGTTCAGTCGTTCTTCATTTCATAAAATCATGCATTGAAAATTGGCGTCAATAAAGAGATATTGTAAAATTTGAAACCCAATCTTCTTACTATATCAAGACGAACAAAGTTACATATTAAGTCAATTCTATAACAGGGAACAAAGTTACATATTAAGTCAATTCTATAACTAAGATAATTATAAAAGAGGTAAATGTAAGGATAAGAGACTATTACATCTAATTACATCCCCTAATGGCTATTATTACTCTATTTTTTTGGCTGGTAGAAAGCGAGAAGCTTGGTGATTTCACCTAGATTTTCTGCCTTGTAGTAGTACTTTTTAAAACATGGCCACATCTAGCACTCTAGATAATAACTTGATGAGTTGTGCAAATAGCATTTTCTCCAACCAAAACTTTGGTACTCTCTCAATGATTTTGCTTGTTTTGTACCACAAACCATCCGTACTCAATTAGTATCCTAATTTCATAGTTGTGTATTGCTTTTTTTTTTTTTTGTACTTGAAGATGTCGGATTGAACGTTGATTCATGAAATTAAGAGTCCAGTGCTATAATTTTTTTTACCTTCTGTTGCGCACAAATTTGTGAAAGCCATGTTCCATATGCAATTCCTGATAATGAGTTTGCTTAACAGGTCGAAACTGCAGATCATCATAACCATTGGCTACTAAGTTGTTCATAAACCTGGCATGTATTTGAACAATATCAGCAGACCTGGTTTGTCTCAGTGATACCTCTAATTAATTAGAATTCTGCGCTGCATGGAACCTATTAATACTTTTCAAGAACATTTATCAGGTTTGAATCTTGAAATCCCAACCCAACAGAAACGATCAAGTACATTTTTTTAAGGTAGCGGACAATCCAAACCTTCTAGAGCCAATCCCTATCCTCTTACCTTAAACAAAATGTATGGTAGTATTTAATTTACTTATTTGCAAAGTAAGCAAGATTTTTACCCCCAAAAAAAAAGGAAGATTTTGGACTTTTATTCTCTACTAGTAGGCTACCGAATTGCACTATGATAGAGACCTGGCTGGCTAGGACGCCAAGCTCTTCCCAATTGGCCAACAGATTTTCTTGTAGTGTGGTCACCGCTCTCACCCCTTTGGGTTCTTAGGTTTATTAATATTGGCTCATATTTTGGCTTCTGTTGTGGACCAGACTCATCTCTCCCTGCGTTATAGCCTTAAATTCTACTACTACTCCTTCCCAACTGTAAGGTCACATGCTTTAACCATCTCATAAAAAATTATTCAGTCTGCAAAATTAATTCTTCTCTCTTTGTAAGGGCAAACAAAAAAAAAAAAAAAAACGGTTGCGGTCTAATATTGCAGATCATGGCAGTCTAACCCACGAGTAGTTTTTTTTCTTCAGTCTTCAGAGATGACCAAATTGCGTCAGGTTGCAACTTGCAATATACTTTCATCACTGCTTACGTACTCTAACTTACACAAAACACAATCAATGTAAACAAAGATGATTAGCAGGTGGGAAAAGATACTTCAACAGCCTGATCAGAGCTGAAACTTGAAAGGAGCTTTGCATATATAAAATATTCATACTTTTAAATGTTAGCTTTGAATTATTATATTTATAAGGCAAAGTTCTTGCTTAATTCCTCTTTTGGCATGTTTCCTCAAAGGAAGGACTGTGATCAAGTGAAAGATTTCTGTCTTTTGAGGCTGGTTCGAAATTGAATGGTGAGAGACAGAAAGGAGAGAGGTGGGACTTGCCACTAAAAACAAAAAGAAAGAAAGGGAATGCTGTGTCAGTTAATTTAAAAACCAAGGAGAGGGCAGTGCAGTCTCTCTCACATAACTCGGAGGGGAACTGAAAGAGAGTGAGTGAGTGATTGAGAGGTGGGCGGATAGAGATCAGAAAACAATCATCATTGCTAAAAACCAGATTACTCTCTGGCATGGGCCACCATGATTCCAAAAAGATTACATGTCATTACCCACATCTTTCTCAAACATGTCCTCCAAATTGCCATATAGCTAATTATCACCCCCCCCCCCTTGTTATTTGTTTTCCTAATATTTCATCATTATCATGTCTTTCTTGATAAGGTTATTATTTTCTTCCTCCTTTTCCTACCCATCTCCCTAATTCTCATGGTTAATCATTCCCTCAAGCTTTCAAAATGATTCACCAAGATTTTTAACCCCTAATCTCTCTCTCTCTTATGGTTCATATGGCCATTCATGTACATCACTCTGTATATTCCAATGAGGAAGCTAAAGGATCTACCATGTGAGGCAAAATCTAGGACAACCAATCAACATATGAAAACGAATTAATGAACGTTGACTTTTGGGCAGATAGCATCTCTCATTGCTTTATTTCATTAATAAGTGATCAATGGAATCCATCTCTAATTATTCCCTTAACACAACTACACCTCTTTGGAATTTTTTTCTTTTTATAATTAAAAGCTCACCACCCTAAATTTCACAAATTATATATAAACCATCCACGCAAAGAATCTTTCTTTTTTTTTTTTTTATCTAATTGATCAATAAATGGCGTGTGTGGATCTTTTTTTATCTTAAATGAAAGTTAGTCGTATGTAAATAAAAAAATTCTAACACTAGAAATCAAAAGAAAATTAACATGTAAGAAGAAATAATGGAAATTTGGTTTCTACATACTTTCTAGAACGAAAAAGAGATTAATCTAAAATAGTATCGGAATAAACCTAGCTAGCTCCGCACCACCTCTCTATCCTATCTCAATAGTTAAAACGGTGAATTAACAAAAGGAAAAGACATGATATGGGGAAAATAATAATTAATCATATTAATTCTGTTAGCAATAATAATATTGAATTTATAATTACATTTGAAGAAAATTGTTTATAACATATACTAGAAATTAAAATACCCAAAAGAGAAAATCTGAGGAATTAGAGGGATTGTACATAAAATCCATTAATTTTAAAAATTCTTGTCGTCATTGATAATTATTTTTTGTAATTATTATAAGTTCAATAGGTTAAAATTATAAAATAATTTTGTCATTATTGATAATTACTTTTGATAATTATTTTTTATTTTTAAGTTTCATTTGAATGGACAGTTAGTGAGATTAAAAAAAGTAATAAAAGTTATAATAATTATAATTGAAAAAAAGTTAAACTTTAATTAAAAAATTTTAATAAAAAATTTATATTAAATGAATCTTATTAAAATTAATATTTAAATTTAATTAAAAATACGGTGATCTCAATCGTATTATACCGTACCAACTGTGCAATCCAAACTAAGGCTAAGCAGCTTTGGGCACAAGCAGTTCCCAAGAGAAACAAGATTTAGGACCACATGGGAAATCGGGTTGGCAAGGAACATGGGGATGGCGTCGGGGGATTTAAGGAATAGAACAGGCCTTTTGTTAACAGCACCGACCTGTTTGTTTTCTCCCACTAGACAAGGTACGAGGAAGAAAAGGTTAATTTGCATATTGTGGTTTCCTTGGTTCTTATCACATGTTGGAGTTCCCCGACCCAAAATTATTGAAAATATAATAGAGAATTATTCTAAACTACTTAAATAAATTGAAAATATAATATGATTACTGCTGCAAAATCCTCTTCATATTAAACTTCTAGTTCTTCTGGATGACAATTTTCTGTACATTAAACAGGTTCTAGTAAGTAATTCTAGTCTGCAGGACAAATCCATGAATCAACTGTACCTTCTGCTCTAGAAGAAACGTTCTCCAATCCCTTGTCATGAGGAAAATCTGATGAGGAAGCTGAGCAGTTCAACTTGCAGCCGTTAACTCTTTGTGAATAATTATGATCAGTATTATTACCATAATTCCCATCTATAGGCCTCAAATGATCTTGATTCCCACCGTTCAATCCAATCCCATCTCTCCAGTTGCTATCACTCCTTAGACGTGCCCCGTCTGGTTCATGACTTTGTAAGCCACTGAGGTTTGCATTAACATGACCATGACTCAAGCCCAATTCATCAAAGGAAGGCATGATTGAACTTCCCTGTGACTTCACACTGAAACCAGGCAAATTTAGAGAAGGGTGAAGTGGAGTAGGCTGTAGGAAGGACTGGAATGATAGGACGTGGCCCTGGTTCTGCAAGTTTAACATATTCTGAGGCTGCTTTAGTAGGCCTAAATCACAAGGAAGTTGATAGTTGCTAGAAGTTGGATTGAAAGCATTGGTTGTGGCAGTGATAGAAGTGGGGATGGTGCTATTGCTAGTAGTACTGGTAATATTAGCAGCAACAACTAAAGGATTATTTAACAATGAAGGAGAAGATTTAGATGCAAATGGAGTCGGCTGAACCCTTTTAGCTGAGGGACGTAGAGGGTAGAGAGAACCTACAGGTTCCAAATGACTGGACCGCATACCTGAGCCAGAGCCAAAAAGGTCAAGCCTTCTAGAATATGATGAAACGGAAAATGGTGGTGCAGGGACTCCAGTGAATTCTTGCACCATTGCTCTAAAATTTGTTGTGTCCGTTGTGAGAACAGTAGTGGGTGCTCTCCTTGATGCTCTTGTTCGCTTCCTGGGGTTCTTGACAACACTTGTCTGATCAGATTGTGTTAAAGATCTTACACCATTTTCATGAGATGGTCTGGATTGCATGGATGATGAGCTTGGAAATGAACCTTGATTGAGTCCTTGTGCACCTAAGATAGAGTACTGGCTCGATGATGACGAGCCTGGTAGATTACCTAGGTCCGCGCAGTTGGGTTCAGATCTAAGCCTCCGAGGCCTAACCCCCTCAAGATTTAGCAGTGAATTGTTTGGTTGAGAGTGAGAGAAATGGTTGAGATAATTTGCTGAAGGATCAAAGAAAGTGGATGGGTGATCATGGTGGTGCGAGACAAGTGACGGGTGTGGATTTGATAGGGGAGTACTAAAGTGGCCTGAAGTGTTCAATAAAGCTGGGACTGACTCAGGCTGTGAGTCATACTCTTCATCACCACCACTTGAAGATTGCATACTACTACTGTTACCAGAATCCATGGCAAAAGCTTTGATTATTTCTTTTTTAAAAGTGCAACAATAAATAAAAGTAGAAAACCTGCAAAGTACCGGGGATAGATGGTGATAGTTGCACAGTAGCAAAAACAGAAACGAGGATATAGTCTTAGCTCCAAAAGGCAATTATGAAACCACTACAAAGGAACCCGAGAATTGAATGAAAAGAAGATATATCCTTCTAAACCAGCTTTGAGAAAGTTGCCATATCCTTAAAGCTACCCTTGAGGCCCTGATATCGATCTTCGTTGGAAGCTGCAGTACCTTCTTTCCTCTTGTCTTTCACCCGGAGAAGAAAACTATCTACAAAAAAGGAGGAGAGAATAATATTACAGTTTTTCAAACACGACGAAGAAAGAGGAAATATTTTCTCTTCTTCTTCTTCCTTCTCCTTCCTCACTCTATAAGATCTGAATTAGGGTTTTTGGAGCAGGAAAAGAGAGAAAGGATAGGCTTTTTGCTCTTAAAAAAAGAGAGAAAAGGGCGGTGTCTCTCATCAAACATATGTTTCCACTGAGAAGATCCTCTCTAGAGAGTGCAGGGTGGGGTAGCCATTGGAGTAGAGAAAGAGTAGGCGGTGGCTGGCAACGGGTCAAACTGAGTGAATGAGAAAGAGAAGGTTAGCCTTGATATATGACATGAATGTGAAAGCAAGAAAAGTATTTGAGACTAATTTAAAGTGTACGTAGCAAATACCAGAACAAATAATTATAATAATAAAAGAATTTTAAAAGATAATACTTAAAAAAGGTAATTTGAAAGAGAAAAAAATAGAAAAATGGAGTATATTATAAAGTAGCTTTAGTAATATGAAGAGAACAAAACGTTACCACCACCACCACCACAAGAATCAATATTCTAAATTCTCACTTACGTTCACATTATTAATAGTTTAGAAGCTTTTCTTTTTTTCTTTTTATCAATGATGGTATATCTCTTTAATGAATATTTTTTATTCTTTACAAACTAACTTTAGATTTGAGATTTTAGTCGGTGAGTGAATCAATCACTCAAGTGTCTTTTCATATCAAACTGATCAACTAATTAATGGGTATTGGTTTTTTTTTTTTTTCATAGTTATAATTTTTTTTAGGAAAAATATAATAATTAAGTCTAACAATCATATGATTTATTAGTAAAGTATTAAATTTTTAATAAAAATCAAATTTTAAGAATTTAAAATATAAAAAATTATTATTAAAAATTTAAATTTAATTTTCATGAATTTTGTGTATGGAAGATATGGTTGGTTATATAATTCTAAAGGGCAGAGATGCGAGGGGGCAACAATTACAGATGGAATTGTCTATGAATTTTTATAAGTGTATTTATGGAGTAGTAGTATTATAATTGCATACCAGCAAACCTCAGCCTTTGACCAAGTCAGAATTCAGAAACAAAATCCAAGCCATGTAATTGAGCAACATCAAAGAACCTTTAGCCATTTTCATCATCTGAGATTGGCATTGAGAGCAAATTAATGATCTTTTAATTATTTACCTATCACTTGGTTTTTTTTTTCTTCTAATTCTGTTGTATTTTTAGAATGCCAAAATTTGAGTTTAGAAATTATCTAAACTTGTTATTTATTTAATGGCCTGCATAGCTTTGGGGTGTTAATCCAAAGTAATGGTGCTTATATTATTTTACTTATATTTCTTAGAAATGGGTATTGGCCTGCCGTACCCAACCAAATCCCATTCTATTAAAGGATCCAAATTGAAAGTCTCTCAAGTCTTTTATGGCTACATGGAAAATATTGAAATTTGGGTGTCCGTCGTTGGTACCAATATGATTTGCTGCCTTTCTTTCACATCCATCTTTCTTTCTTGTCACAGCCTTGTACAAACTCATGTGACTATTGGGCCTTTGTTCATCGTCTGCCTAAATATTCTCATCAATTCTACCACTTATCTTTGCCTTTTTTTTTTTACATCAAAAGAGCATAATTCTAATACAAGTAAGATAAAAAGAAGATATCTGATTTGAAATCAGAAATTTGATATTCCTTTAAGTACTTTTAATTATTAAACTAAATGTTTGGGGATTTTGTTAAGCCTTTTATAACATGTTGAAAAGAATGAAGATCAATCCACCTAGAGATATAAATTTTGAACATGTTAGAATCCTTAACCAGAATTTTCTTTTTTTTTTTTTTCCTTCTTTTAACATGTTTAATTGCTTTAGTTTTGATTATTGTATATGGGTTTTTTTTGTTAGGTGATAAACAGTCGTAATCAAGTAAAACAAAGTGTCTCAAGAGTCAAACGAAGAAAAAGAAATGAGTAGTTTTTGAAATATTGAATATAGCGATAGATGGTGATAGACAGTGCAACAAGGTTGAATAGTGAAAAAAAAAGTTGTAAAAGAAACCTAGAAGAAAGGGTTGCAAAGAGAAATTGAAAGAAAATTGATTGAATTTCTCAAAATCCAAAAGTTCCTTTAAATGAGTTATGAAAACTATTATTTATAAATTTAAAAATATGAATTACATATCTTGCATATTGAATGTGAATAGTAATAAAATTGACAATTATAAAAAAGTATTAATATAGTATTTAATAAAAGTTTAATTTTTGGTAATAACGAATAATGAACATAGAAATTTATCGTGATTATATTTGGTGCATAAAATGATAGATAGAATATGATGATTTATCGTATATCATGTGGTTTGTATTTAAAAAAATAGAGAAGATTATAAGGAAAATTAATTATTCTCTTAACATAGGATAATTCATTCCTCTCAAAATTGAGAGGATTATTTTTAATCAGTAAAATTAAATTTACATATTTTATTATATCCTTAAAAATTATATCAATAATTTAAATTATATAAATTTTGAAGAATGATAACTTTGACCAATAAATAAAGTTATCCAATTTTAATCTTTGCACACATCAAATATAAGATAGGATACTATTATTTAATAATCCTATTTATAATATCATTTTATTCTATCTTATCATAATTTTGTACATCAAATACATCTTGTATGTTGTAAAAAAAGAAAAAAAAATACTCATAGCTGAGGGAAAGATTAAGAGAGATCTCTTAACTATTTTCATTTTGATCCATCAAGTCAAACTCTCCAAATTATCTCAATAATGAAATTTAATCAAATCCTATCATATTTCAAGGTTATTTTCACCTTTTTTTTTTTTTCAATGAAGTATATTTTGTAAAATAATTTTTAGTGAAGCAACTTTCAATAAAAGAACTTTCAGTAAAGATGTTGATATTGTTCTTTGAAAAAGTTGTTTTGTGAAAATGTTATTTCATAACTAGCTGTTTCAAGAATAACTGTTATGCGAACAGTTATTCTGTGAAAAAGTTATTTCGTGAATAGTTATTTTATAAATAGTTATTTCTTACAAAAAATTATTTTATGAAGAGTTATTCCATAAACAATTATTTTGTAAAAATACTATTCCATAAATAGTTGTTCGATGAAATAATCTTGTTATTTATTTTGAATTATTTTTATTATGTAATTGGTAATGTGATTCTTATAAAATAATTTTAGGAAAACATAAAAGAGATAAAATATCTACAATTACCAAAAAGAAGATAATTTAGGTTATATTAATGGTTGAAATCTTGATCTTAGGGTGGCATCTTTCTACCTCCGGCCCACGCAATTCACAAAGTATATTGCAAACAAGTTTGCTCCCCATTTTCGAAAATTTTTTGCTCACATAAGCCACAAGAATATTTTCATTTTGATCCAAAATTTCACTCACTTTATTTATTCATATAATTATTTTTTAAAAAAAGAATATTTAATAAAATTAGAATTTAAATTTCAATATTTATAATTTTTTTGCAACATCTTATATACCAAAAAGTATTATCATTTCCCACCACCAAGAACCAAACAACATGTACGTGTGAGAGTTCTCTTGAGCTAGCGCTGCATGCCAGGCAGCCATAGCTGATTCAAGGATGTTGATTGCTACTATTCACTACAGGGGTTTTGGTTTTTAGTGGTTTTTTTTTTAAAGTTTAGTGACGTTTATAAACGCCACTAAAAGATTTACGACATTTGTGAAAAAAGCTAATCAAAGTATCGGCTATACACATGTTGTAAAAAATAGCATCGTTTTCTATAAAACGCCACTACATTAGCTACGTTTGTATATGAAAAAATATCGTTATATTAGCGACGTTTGTATCTTTGACATGCCGCTAATTTAGTAGTATTTTTATCAGAAAAACATCATTACTTTGGTGACATTTGTATCAGAGAAATATCGTTAATTTAGCGTGGCTTTTAGCAAAAGCACTGCTACCTTTAGTGGCGTTTTATGGTACAAACGCCACTAAATTATTCATTTAACAACATTCTTGAGCACAAACACCGCGAAATTAAAAATTATATTTTTTTTAAATAAAAAATTTCTATTAATATTTATTATTTTCATAAACAAGCTTAAATTTAGATACTGAAATTAATATAAACTTAATTTACGTTTAAATATGCATCTAATTAACACAAAATTTAATAACTAGTATAATAACATTCAAAATTTTTTAATACATTAACAAAATAAAAATTAAAATGTATAAAATTAATGACTACATACATTTTGAAGGCTGCCAATTGATGAAAAAAATTTTTCACTTTGGTCATTAGTGTGCTAAAAAACTTACTGAATAATAGTATACAATTTTTTAGACTTCATTGTAAGCTATTTTGATATTAAAAAATATAAATATTTACTAAATATAATACCTAAATTGGAGGATCACCGAGATCAGTTTCTGAAAATTATTGTTGCACAAAATTCATAAGATGATCGAATCGATCATGCAACTACTAAAATTTTTCACGCTTTTGCTCTATTCTAGCATGTTTTTCCTCAATTTTGGCATGCTTTTATTCTCTTTCTACTTCAATTTGCAGGAAATGTTGTTGTATAGTTTGTAATTCCTCTTTCAATATCGAATGTCTCACGAAGATTGACTTGTGAGAATGTAAATTACTGAGAGTTCATATATAGTAGGTAGATGGTGTTGGACCCAATCCAAGGCCTCGGACCTGTCCATGCTTTTTTTTTTAGCAATTTTTATGAATATCTAATTTTTTAATTCTTGCATGTTAAGAGAACCATCAGATGCTACTTCAATCTTAACAGCCATTTTTTCTTTTACTTTCTCTTGTAAAATAGTCATTTACAACTATCAAGTTTAATGATTAATTAATAATATGTTAAAAAAGTAATTATTTACTTTCTGTTAAAATAGATATTACAAATTATCACAATTTTTTGTGTTTTGACATTCATGTAATATCTATCTTTTTTTATGTGTGATAAGTGAAAAAGTTTTATACGTCCAATTTGACCACCCATCTCAATCTCCTATACAAAAACATATGTTATTTAATATGATACATATCAACCGCAGCTTATTCATGTATATCATGCTTGTCAATCAAGTTCAATAATTTTGAATAATGTTAATATCATGTATTATATTTTGGCCCCTTTACAGCACAATAGTTTTAAACAGACGTAAACGTACATAAAAGTATTTTGGCCTTTCACACATTTAGATCATGGTAACTAAATTCAATTATTAGA